TCGCGCGGTATTTTGTTTACGAGGACATCGAGATCGAGATGGCGCCGTGCCCTTGGACGTCAGCCCGTCTTGATTTTTGGGCTGGTCGTGCCGCCAATAAAAACAACCTGGCGACATTGAGCTTTTGAAGACAACACCACTTGGTGCCCGAAATGATCGGCGAACCTCTGCTGCAAACGTCCTAGAAGTAACGGCTCTCCTGTGTCTCACATGACATCTTTTGTACACTTTCTCCGCTGGCATTCCGCCGGCGTGGGGAGTTGTTGTTCCTCGTGATCTTTCTGTTGCTTTTTGTCAGACAAATGCCGACGCATCGAATGCCTGGCTTCGGGGCCGGACATGTTCCCATCTACGGCAGGCACTTGGGATTGACGTTTTGACATTGGGTAGTGTATTTTTCTTTCTTCAATACTACTGGACCTAGCGCGCCTTTGATCATCCGACTCCCCCGAAATAACCACGGCCTTAGTTCGGCGGGTGGGGAACGACGGGGCGAAACTTATGGCTGGATAATGACTGGGAATCCCTACTTTTAGGAGGCTAAATTCCCATTGAGGACATGTGCCCAGGCTAGAGGTCGTCTTCCCTTCTCACCTTATTGAAAGGATTTCACACCCGCCGCCGGGCCGGTCCAGGGGAACAAACTTCACCGAGTGTGGAGCACCTTCTGCCATGGGTTAGAACGGTTGGCATGGGGTTTCAATGATATCTGGAGACCCCCTAGCCATTAATGAAGGAGAGGCACTTGGAGGGGCGTGTGTGATGGGGATAGCATGGACCAACGGGGACAGACATGGCCGACGATCTTTCCGGCCTCGCCGAGGCAGGCATGCGGTGGAGGCTGGAGAAGAGATGAAATGGGGATATTTGATTATTGATATTATTTGTATTTACCGTTGGGACGAAAAAAGAGCCTGGTTGCGCGCGGATAACAATGTGATCCAGGCCAACGCAACAGAGAACGCAAGAACGGCAAAGTGGCGTCATGCTCCGACCCGCAATCCCATGCCAACAACGGCCCTGTTCCTGTTTCTGTCTAGCGGGCTTCCCACTTGTCCTCTGGCTTGGTTCTGGCCTGGTCTAGCGCCGTTCTAGACGTCAGACTAGGGCAATCGGACAGGCACACTTGACGCTGTCGTCTGCGCCGACGTGCATGCGAAAGATGGAGGGTGCCGACTACGTGTCGAGCCGCCCAGGGAGGTGTGGTGTGTGCTGCAGGTGAGGGCGCGTGTGACACATGAACAAATCAACGACGACATCGATTTTGCTTTTTTCACGTTTGGCGGCGTCAACATGCCACTTGCCTACTGCTTTGGTCTCTTTTCTGCTTCAGTTCTTGGGGGTTAGAGTGCCCCCGCGGGGCCCGAGAAATTGAACGAAATGCGTCATGGTCTGCCTGTTCAGGCGTTGCCCAGGACCCCCAACCACCGACCGCCCAGGCAACGTTCGACGTGAATCCTCCGACGTGAATCCTCCAACGCATGAACTTAACCTGGTGCTTACGTAGGTACATTAAGGTAAGCCCCTTCCCCAGATCGCCAGGTATTCCCCATCAATGGCTTTGGGGGCGGCAAGTCTGGCAACCAATCAGAAACGTCAGAAAAGCGCTTGTGACCGCCATCGTGATTGGTCCCCTGGCCCTGTTTTTTTTTTGCTGTCACTTCTCTGTTTTTAGGTGTTCATGGGGTTGTTTCCTTTTCTTTATTATGGTTTTACTGTCGAATCGGAACCTCCCCTAGCTGCCACAATGCGGCAAGGCCGAAGACGCCGTTTGCTTGAAACCATACCTCTTTCTTTTCGTGGCGTGTGATGTGGATGAAGAAGGGGCCTGTTGGCTTGCGCCTAGATGGCGTGTGCTTGACAGACCTGATGCACCCGATGGCTGACGGTGTGACAAAAGTAAAGGTAGTGATGTACGGGGGTGAGAATACCTACAGGTACCTTCGCTGGGAGGCCCTCGTGAGTAAGATGGGAAACCGCGCCACATGTTGGCAGCAGGCGGCAATGGGATGCACGCCGTGCCGCCCTCGGTGCCGTCCTTGGCCCCCGGCCTCGGTGCGGCTGTTGACATTGGCGCATCTAGTGCGGTGGTGCAATGAACTTGTCATATCCTTTGCCCAAACGCCGACGTGCCGCCGAGCAGATGCGTAGGACTATCCGCATTCGACCACTAGACTTCCAGTTTCCAGTCGTCAGCTTCCCAGAGAGGAAAGGCTGCTGCCCCTTGGAAGTGTCGACAAACGGGAAGTGCCGGAAACGGGCGGCATGGGATATTCAAGCTTGAATATGTCGCCCGAGTGATGAGCTCTAGAACGGCCTGTGGTGGCTTCTCTAGCACCGTCTGGTCGGAGATGCTATCGACAGGACACTTGTCGCGGACCCCCGATGGGAAAGGAGGTCGACCGAGGCCCCTGGGTAGTGCTAGTGGCACTTACCATGTTACTGGGGCGAAGCCAATCAGTATCACATCTCAATCAACCTCCACAAGCCCGTAAATCGCCGCCGAGTCCGACAGCCTGCTTGCCCGCTCCGGCTTGCCCACGCCATCTTCCTTATTACTTGCCAGCGGGATAATCACCGAGAACTTGCGTTAGCTTCCTCGGTGTCTCCGGGAAGCCTCTTCGTCGTGCGCGGGGCGCCGTGTGAGGAGTCTGGGGCCTTCCCAGGCCATCCATGTCCGCTGCATCACCGAACTTGCCCTTTTCTTCCATTCATTCGTCGAAGCTGTGTATGAATTGGGGAGAGCTTCGGTCCCAGCAGCAGATGATACTAGCGGCACGCCAAACGGCATAAGTGTACTTGCCGGTGAAATATGCCCGTCCTCGGGGGCCGGGGACGAAGGCTCCGTATGGGGCGTGGGCTGAATTGTCGCGGACGACTTGATGGTTGACTTGGTGCTTAGCGCGGTGTTGCTGCCGCTTGCGCTTGAAGCTATCCGGGGAGGCGAAGGGGCATGCGACGGAGCCTGAAGTATGAGCCTTTGTGATCCCAATGGCCTAAGCCATGAACATCCTGGTCTTTGTGATCCCTTGTATTTGGGAGGGGAAGATAGTGAATGCCTGAGACTCTATCGAGATGTCCATGCACATGGCAAGTTTAGTTCCTATCGGGAGGCAAGGTCTTACGCAGGCCGGGGCCTGTTCCCGGGAAGGGCAAGCTTGTATTGGGATGAGGCCTTGAGTGCCCAGTTGTTACTAGGAGATCTGCGTCCATCTTGGGCATCTCGGGTCCAGCAGCTACAATGAGCCCCTTCTCTAGCACAGTGGAAGCACTTCTTGTGAGGCTTATTGGGACGGAAAAGCCCTCTGCTGGGTGGCGCGGCCAATGCCACATGCATGGATACTAGCTGACTTCGCATCTCTCGCACGGCCCATTATGGGTTGGCTGGCCTTGATGGCGTGACGGCATTTCGCGTGACAGAGCTGCCGTACCTCGGATGCTATTCGCGACTGTGATATGGCCCTACTATCAGCCGACGTATGTACATGGCCAAGTAAATAGTGTCTAGTTTGGTTGAGGGCTGGCTGGTGAGCAAAAGAAGAGACATTTATATATGTATTCTTGGGCATATCCTCGGGCTCTCGGGCACAGGCATCCATTCACCTGACGATCTGGATATCGATACTTGCTTGAGTCAGCGTACGAGTCTCCCAAGACACAGAGGGTTATCACCACTGCCCCGGCAGCTGCGGCTGTAACATGCGCCCACGGACCGAGGCCGGGGCCGACCTCGATGCTCTACTGTTCTCCGGGATCGGTGAAATCATCTGGCCTGGGGATCCGCCCCCGCAGTACCTACAAATACCTTTCTCCCTCTCCCTCTGATACTCGATGGCCAGCAGACAGAGAACTGGGCCGAGGTCTGCCAAGGTGGTAGGTAGCTGGCAGGATAACGGTTGATGGCTGACGTCACGAAGCCGTGTGTGTTCGGTCCGGCGAGCTTAACCCGGCGAAGGGGGCCCGGACACGGCTAATGTTCCGCCGGCGTCGGAAAATCGTCTTTACCGTACCGTGGCCCCTTGTTCGTACACCGCGAAGGTGTCTCGGGCTAAGACGGCCACTGCTTACCTGGGACGGCACTGTATAGTACGTCCTTAAAATCTTCCGCGAGCGGCCGAGCTTGGGCTGTGAACCCACGTGGCCGGCACGAGGCGAGGGTAGGGTCTTGTTTAGCAAACTAAACTTCTCCCGTGTAATGGGCGAGGAAGCGTGTTCTCCTGTCACGTCATCTCGTGGTAGAACCGCATCACCCCTTCCCCCGTCTTCCGCACAGCGCAGGACTCAGCAAGACCGAGGTCACACTATCTAGAGCGGCGGGTAAATCTTATGGATGGAGCCCAGTTCTATATCTTGTGCATCAAGATCAATGCTTCGGGTGATGGTGGTACCACATGCCTGGTCCCCACTGTTGTGCTACCAAACGAGTATATGACGCAGGACCTGGGTATTTTATTTACTATGTATCTATCACCCTATCCCAATTACGTCGCATATCTGTCATTACTGCCGCACGGGATGCGAGAAGAACGCAAAAAGAAGACGATATGGCTGACCCATGCTGCGCTGGAGTGGCCCTCCTGTCTTCTCGTGCTACATGACTGCCCCTTCCCCTTCACGCCTGCTTCGTAGCGGTTGGTTCTGTCCCCAACCGGGCGCCCAGCCATCCGAATACGACCGTCTAGGGAGTACTGAAATCCGCCTCCCGCTTTTATGGTTGACTTCTCTGCCCCAGTGGCAAGGCGAGAAGAGAGATGGTCGACGGCTTCGTACTCGGGGGCTACCTACCTAGCTATCCCCTAGAGCCCGGGAGTCCCTTGCAGCCTATAATCCTGCTCCTTCAACTGTTCTCTTCCGGCGACAATTCCGTTGCCAGCTTCGAGCCTCCTTGGCTATGGTTACCACCAGGACTTGTGCACTTAAACCCCCCTCCTCGCCACCGCCGAGTCAGCTCACGGAAGCTTCTTGGATGGGACAACGTCGGCTGTGCAGCATCCAACGTGGGGCGAATGGTTTAGTGGTATAACGCTTCCTTAGCATCTTATATGACTCTCGGATGAAACAATTCCAGGAGCATTGGATCCGACTGGAAGAGGTCCGGGGTTCGATTCCCCGTTTGTCCAATTCCTACACTTTCCTTTTTGCCTTGCCTACCTGGCGAGTGTTGATCTCCCCTAAAACCTTGGAATGTTTTTTTCCTCACCTGTTCCGTGCAGGCTAGCTGTCATCCAGTCAGATCACGAGCAACACTGCGAATGGAGATTGCACTTGCCTTTATTTTTTTCATGTAAGCCTGGCCGTCATCTTCCATGGCAGTTGGGTGAGGGTGGCGTCCACGCTCGAGCATCATGAAGATCAGGACACAAGCGACATCATGCGGAATCGAGGGCCACAAGACAGCAAGGTAAGGTATGGTTCATGAAATGTCACTGGCTCAATGGCACTGCGGGATGAACGCATCGTGCTCTTCCAAAATCTAGGAAATTCCATGACAACATCCCTGTCGTGGCCAAGGACAACGAATCTAAATCTGCGCCGCCTGCTCCCCATGGAACTTGCTTGCCAACACGACACAAACGCCAGTGAAAAGACGGGAGGTAAATAGTACCCAGAGTATGAAAATTTTACTTGTTTCGCATTTATGACGGCGCCAACTAAAAGACTTCTTTTTGCATCTGCAATATAGAGAGGGAAAGGAGGGGGAATCGGGAATGTGCGTCTAATGTGGTATCTCTCATAGCTCGTCGTGAGACCTGGGCTCGTCCGAGCCGCCGGCACCGCCGCTGTAAAGCTTGCTGGTGATGGGGTGGGCGACGCCGGACAGCTTCTCCTTTTGCTCCTCAAAGTCGGCGGCCTCGGCGGTAGCGCCGTGCTCGTCCAGCCAGCTGGTGGCCTCCTTGACAGCGTCCAGAATCTGATGGTTATCTAGTCAGCAAGCGTTCACAGCGGTCATCTATTGGATATGGCGGGGGATAAAACTCACAGCCTCCTTGTCTGCGTCGTCGATCTTGCCGCCGAGACCCTCCTCATCCTTGACCTGGGTCTTGAGGCTGAAGGCGTAGTTCTCAAGGGCGTTGCGGGCCTCAATGCGCTCGCGAGTGGCCTTGTCCTCCTCGGCGTACTTCTCAGCCTCGCTGACCATGCGGTCGATCTCCTCCTGGGTCAGACGGCCCTTGTCGTTGTTGATGGTGATCTGCTCAGTGTTGCCAGTGCCCTTGTCGTGGGCCGACACCTTCAGGATACCGTTGGCATCAAGCTCGAAGGAAACCTCAATCTGCGGCTGGCCACGGGGCGCAGGCGGGATACCGGTAAGCTCGAACTTGCCCAGGAGGTTGTTGTCCTTGGTCATGGAACGCTCTCCCTCAAAGACCTGGATCAGGACGACGGGCTGGTTGTCGGCCGCAGTCGAGAAGATCTGGCTCTTGCGAGTAGGGATAGGAGTGTTGCGGGGGATGAGCTTGGTCATGACACCGCCGGTGGTCTCAATACCCAGGGTGAGCGGGTTGACGTCCATGAGAACAATGTCATCGGTGCCCTCCTCACCGGACAGAACACCGGCCTGGACGGCCGCGCCGAACGCAACAGCCTCGTCGGGGTTGATTCCCTTGGAGGGAGACTTGCCGTTGAAGTACTCCTTGATCAGGGACTGGACCTTGGGGATTCGGGTAGAACCGCCGACCAGGACAATGTCGTCGATGTCGTCTTTCTTCAGCTTGGCATCCTTGAGCACCTGCTCGACGGGCTTCAGCGTCTTCTTGAAGAGGTCCATGTTGAGCTCTTCGAACTTGGCCTGGGTCAGGGTCTCAGAGAAGTCCTTGCCGTTGAAGAAGGACTCGATCTCAATGCGGGTGGACTTCTGGGACGAGAGCGTGCGCTTCGCCTTCTCAGCCTCGCGCTTGAGCTTGCCCATAGCCTTGGCGTCCTTGGTAACGTCGACGCTGTGCTTCTTGTTGTACTCCTTGGCGAAGTGGTTGATGATGCGCTGGTCGAAATCCTCACCACCAAGATGGGTATCACCGGCGGTAGCCAGGACCTCAAAAACGCCGTTGTCGATCGACAGGAGCGAAACATCGAAAGTACCACCGCCGAGATCGTACACAACGATCTGCTTCTCGCCCTCGGTCTTGTCCAGGCCGTAGGCGATAGCGGCCGCGGTGGGCTCGTTAACGATACGGAGAACGTTCAGACCGGCAATGATGCCGGCGTCCTTGGTGGCCTGCCTCTGGTTGTCGTTGAAGTAGGCGGGAACGGTGACAACGGCGTGGGTGACCTTCTTGCCGAGGTAGGACTCGGCGACATCCTTCATCTTGCCCAGGATCATGGCGGAAACCTCCTCGGGAGACAGTTGCTTCTCCTCGCCCTTGACCTCGACGGAAACAACCGGCTTTCCACCCTTGGAGATAACCTTGTAGGGGAAGTGCTTGATATCGCTCTGCACATCCTTGTCGCTGAACTTGCGGCCGATGAGGCGCCTGCGAAGGGAGACTCGTCAGTAAGGGCGCCCGGAAAAACGAAGCAGAAATGCGTATCTGGACATATATGCGCAGGGGCTGACAAAAACTTACTTGACATCAAAGATGGTCCTGAAGGGGTTCGAGGCGGCCTGGTTCTTGGCGGCGTCACCAACCAGCCTCTCGTCGTCGGTGAAGGCAACGTAGGAGGGAGTGATACGGTTTCCTAGTGGGCGCACGTCAAGTTAGCGAGAGTGAACGGGACACGGTGGCACTTTCTGGGAAAGTGGGCTCGGAGGCATACCTTGGTCGTTGACGAGAATCTCAACCTTGCCCTTCTGCATCACACCGACGCAAGAGTAGGTGGTACCCAGATCCTGGGAAAGCGTATACTGTCAGCTACATGCGTGGCCCCCATGCGCACACACACACCCTTGACCTCCCCGAGGTTGCCCGCGCAGAAACTTACAATACCGATGACGGTGCCATAGCTCTCCGCCTCCTGGGCGTGGGCCGTCTTGACAAAGGCGAGGGGGGAAAAGAGCAGGCAGATCCATGCGATCATGCCCAGGCCAATGGCCATGGAGCTCCTCGAGCCCGACTTCATTGTGGTGGAAGCCCGCGGGAGGCTCTCTCTCTCCGAGAACTGGCGAGAACTGAGGTGGGGTTTTGTCCTCGCACAAGATTAAGGCGCAAACGGATTAGAAACAAGACTAGGAAATATGGAAAGGCGCGCTCTGTCCACTGCTACCTGGCGAGAGGAAGGCAGGCAGGGAATTCGTCGGGGTGGTATGGTTGGTTCGAGTGGGAGAGGAGAGGATGCGTCGAGGAGGGGATTCTTGCAAGGCGCCGCCTTATATCGATTCGGCCAGAATTCACTGAGGTGGCAGCTCCACCCAGAAAAGTTACGGTGTCCATTTTGGCAGAAAGGACAGATTTCATCCAACCCAAACCCGCCCGCCTGCCAGTTTGAGCCCACCAGTGCCCACCTAACCCGCACCAGCCACACGTGACAGGGATCTCGCAGTTTGCCAGCCCCTGGGCCGATCTATTTCTGGCCCCTGCTTCACTGGTACCGCCACCACCAACACCGCTAAGCCGGCGTCTTTGTGTGCCTCACTCCCACCACACCACCATAGCGCACACAATGCAGCACACCACAAGCGCTTTGGGGTTGGCAGTAGCGAGAAACCCCAAGTGCGATGCACACCGCCCAAGACATTGAGATTGCCCCAAATTCCCACCCCGTGCCACATGCTGATGTCCACCCAGCGGCGAAACAGCTCCCGTTCGCTGCCACCTAGCCTCGTCCTTCTGGCGGGGCGCGCTGGGGCGTCTTCCTAGTTGGGCGGCAGAGAGCGGTAATTTGACTCCCGCGGTTCCTGAACAGTCACAATAGTCTGTCATAGGTGGTCAGTCAGCGGAGAAAACCTCAAACAAACCAAGAAACGGCGTGGAAGGCGTTTGCCTAGGTCGGTCGCCACCGCCTAGAACGCCACAAGGGCGATGGATGAATCGATCGGATTCCGTCCTGTTCGCTGACCTTCCCTCCGTGTGGGCTTGGCGCCCGTGTGGGGATGGGGCTCTGCTGCTGATGCTTCCATTCTCGGCGAGGCGAGACAAATGCAACCGCTGCGGCGGCTTCCTATCAATAATCCTTCGTCAAAGCTCTCTGCCACTGTGGCCTCTTTTATTTTACCCCCTGTCGAGCGAGGGGTAGCAGCGCATAGTCTGTCGTCTGTCCTTTTTGCGGAGGTGGGGCTCCCTGTTTTTTAGGAATTGTTGCTTTGTCAACGACTTCCTCTTTCCATGACTGTCTGGCTGCTTCGCCGCCACATGCTTTATTGTAATCTTTGGACCACTCTGTTCTTATTCTTCTCGACTAAGTGCTACAAGATACTTTGAGGTTGACCATATCTTTATGTTTATGTTTTAGGCAGTGTCTGTGGCCACGCGCAGCAAGCAAGCGCCACTCTCCAGATCCATTTCTGCCCCCCGTCTCGGCTCGCCGCAATCAATCTCGCCTGCGGCAATGGCAGCGCATGTCGACATCCTGGGGCTCCATCCCGCAAAGGCGCAAAATCCTAGTCGTAGAGACCCCTGCCCCAAAGAGGCATGTGCATACCCCTGAGGCCCTCTTTTCTTATTCAGACTTCGAGGTTGTCACCTCGATATTCACAATAAATTACATCAGTGGAATAGTGGCCACGTCAAATAGATATTTCCGTATGCCATGGTTTCATTGAGCAATGACCCTCGGCTTCTATAGTTGTAAAAATGCATTCCTCCATTCTCTGTCATAGCCACACGTGAAACAACGACGATTTATCAGCGCGATAGAAGGAGCGCTATTCCAGCAAGCCAGCCGCCACTGTTGACCCGTTGCTGCGTAGGATGATGCGTTGGCCAGTTTCGAGCGGCACCTTGGATGTCATCTTTACTACAACCCTGGCCGTGTCACCGGCCTTGATGATTCTAGGCTTCTTTTTCGTCACAGCTCCAGTCATCTTGTGAAGGATTGCCGACATCTCCTGGATCTGCCCTGCCGCATGCAGCCGCCCCCGATGAACGTCCACCTGCATGGGCATGAGGATGTCGAATGCAAGAATCTTGGCCGTAAAGATGTCGACACACTCGATCGGGTTCGCCGTGCTGCAGACGATGTCTCCTGT